GGCGGGAGTCTGTAGACCAGGAAAGCCAAGGTCAGAAATCTCCAAGGCGGGAGTCTGTAGACCAGGAAAGCCAAGGTCAGAAATCTCCAAGGCGGAAGTCTATAGACCAACAAATCAGAGACTGGATATTCGCAAAGCGCAAATCCATAGATTCATATGAAAACAGGCAACCCCCAAGGAAGCAATCCTCAAATTTGCAAGATCAACAACGAGCTGAAGGCCAGCAGGGCCAAGAGGAGCAGTTCCTAAAGGATCAGTCTCACAGAGGTCAAGGTGAAACTCAGCAGCCCCCAAAGAGACAAGATAAACACCAGCAGACTGATAAGGAAGAAGCTCCAAGCCTAAAACCTGAAGCTAAAGCAAAGAAAGCTCAGTCAAAGAAAGACTCGATGGACCAAGATTGGAAATTACAAATCCGTGAATCCCAAGACTGGATATCTCAAGGCTGGAGAAACAAAGACTGGAAAGCAAAAGAGTGGACTTTTGAAAAGCAGAATACCCTAAATTGGCAAGCTCAAAATTTACAAGAGCAAGAAGCCCTAAGGCAGAGAGCTTTATACCAAGACACCCACAGCAAGCGCACCGAAACCAGATTGAACCTAGATCAAGAATTACTAGAAGGCCAAATTCAAGACATTCAGGGTCAAAATAAACTCCAACAAGATCTGCAGGCCAAAGCTACCCAAACAGAAGATACGCAACCAGGTAGCATGAAAACAAAGGTCATCAAGCCAGGGTACATGAAACCTAACGATAAAAAACCAAAGGACTCCCAACCTGAGGTGAGAGCAAATGACCCTTCTTCCCCCTGCCAAGACACAGAAGAAGACCCATATTACGCCTATTTATCCAGTGTAAGTTTAGAGCAATATGTGGAACGAGACACTTCAGTGTGTTCAGCTTTATACAAAGAAGATATGGATTTAGCTTCTACCTCGTGTTATCAAAAAGATCAGCCATCGGAAGACTCTGACTAACACAGAATATACCCAAATAGATCACTGGCCCCCCAAAATGAAACCAAATTAGGGAAAGCCATATAGTCTCTTCCAACCTATGTGCTCAATGGTGGTTGCTACCTTAGTCACTCGCCAGCAAATGAAGGGCATGCAGAACCCTCAAAGTATTTGTCCTTAATGCAAATAAAATGACAACAAACCAAACAGTAACACAATTATCAGAACTTTCTGGGGTGGCAGAGTATGCCATGTTTAAACTCTTTGTATCATCAAGGTTCACGGTTGAGTTTATGATCACCAATTAATTTTGCAGCTTAATATTTAGTGGTTCGATTTTCTATGGTGCTAACATCTTTTGTCTCCTCTTTTGCATAATATAGTGGTTCATTCGGTAACTCAACCAGGAAGAAGTCTCCTATTTAGGCTCTCTAAGGGCTCAAGAATCCCAAGAGTCAGCAGGGAATCAAAATCACTCCCACTAGCCCCCTGGTTTTGTTGTTTCTAGCCCTCCAATTTACGCCTCACCTCCCCACCCTGCAAATTGCTGTGCTGAGGATGTATACACTGAGTTTGTGTCAATTAGTAATGAGGTGGGGGTGGTGGTGAATAAACTATATCGAGGGCATCCCTCAGTGGTGCAAACAGTTTGCACTTGATATTGACCTAAAGGTGGGGAGTTTGAAATGGCCCTACTGATCTGCTTCTGTAAAGATTCCAGCTTACAAAGGCAGCTTGACATGGTGACACATGACTCAGGTAATGGGTTTGGGTTTTAGCTTTAGAGACAGAGGGGGGAGGAGGAGGCATAGAAGGGTGGAAAAGCAACCGTCAGCAAGAATGACAAACTGGACTGTGGTGAGGGAAATTCTGATGCCTGTCCATATGTTTGTACACACCGGTTCTAGTTTCTCAAGCTTTATGAAACTTCACTGCCTCCCCAGAGGTCACAGAAAATGGTGCTCAAAGCTACCAGTGACCCTCCACCCTTCAGGCCTAATCATGAGTACTCCTTCAGCCTTCTAAACGCCAGGGATTCCCAGGCATCTCTCTCCACTGCAATTAGGAAACCACCCTCGTACAGTCCTTTCACCTATTTGGAATAACCTCACATTCTGGCCTCATAAAATTCAACATAAAGGCTTTCTTCTCGTTCCTGGGTACTTCAAATAGCAGCTGAGAAGCACAATTAGGAACCTGGGCTTACCATCTTGAGGTGAGTCAAGTCAATTTGGTGATGTAGAATAAGGAAATCTTAGAATTGAGCTGTAGAGACACGCTATATGCCTTTGCTCCTTTACCCACGTGGCAACAAATTCATTTCCTGAGATTGCCAAAGTTCCTCTACCTTAGTAGCATCATGACCTAAGTTGGCTCTCTTTTCTGAAGGCAGGCTGCTTTTTTTTTTTCCTGAAGAGATTCACTTCAACTTTTTCTCTCAAAAAAAAAAAAATCACTGCCACCAAGTCAAGGTCCCCTCATAGCCACCTTATAGAACTGGAAGAACTACCCCCATATGTTTCTGAGATCGTACCTACTTATGGAAATAGAATACCTGACCTTTCTCCAATAGAGCATTTGGTGGTTTTGAACTATGGACTTTGTGGATTGCAGTCCAATGGCTAACCACTCCACTACCAGGACTCCTCCTAAATAGTCTCCCTTTTTGCTTCACCTAGATGGAATGTTTGTACAGTTTAACATGTAAAATGGATAACAGATTTGGCATTCAGTCCAAAACTCAGGTGTCCAAGAAATATCTTGTTTCATCCAAAGCTCTCTCTGAGAGTCCAACCCACTCATTCATTATTGGTCATTCAAGTCCCCTGGCTAACCAACATGCAGACATACACTTATAAGCACACATGCACAATGTATTCACTTGTTAGACACAGGCATTTCCCCAAAATTGCACGAGTCCAGTGTGTGAGTCCAGTGTGTACGGTCTAGACTGAAAACATGGGAAGGTAAGAACATACGGAGCAATAATCTGTGCTGTCTTCCTATTCCCTGGGCTTATTAAGACTGGTAGGAAGCTAGGCAGAAGTTCCTACTGGCCCCAAGACATCACTTTTACACTACCTAGGAATCCCATCAATCAATCAATACCTCTTCTCCTCCCACACCCTCTCTTAATCCCCCTTCTCAATCACATAAATCTCCCTTATCTCCTCTTTCTGAGACACCTAACATTGTTCCTTGGATGAATTTGGGCCTGGAATTGCCAAAACCAAATAAGGTTTGGAACCAATACAAAAATGTTTCTATGTGAACTCGTGGCACAATGGTGATGCATTCAAGCTGCAAACTGAGAGGTTGGTCATTTGAACCTACCCATTGCTCCAACGGGGGAAAAGACTTGGTGGTCTGCTCACATAAAGATGACAGCCTTGGAAACCCCTTCAAGAACTGGACCTTCTCCTCTAGGGTCACTGTGATTTGGAACTGACTCAGCCACACACACAAATATGTGAACTATCTGTTCATAAGGCAAGATGCCGAAGGCTTTAGAAAACAGAAGCATTTGTGACTTAAAGGCCAGGTGGAAGTGTAAATAACCCACCTTATACTAAATGCAATATGTCTGCCCATAAATTCTGTTAGGGTTATTTCATTAAAAAAAATTTCTGGAAACTGTTGATTTCCAGATGCTATAAGTCCCTGTGACAAAAATGAGCTGGTTGCTCAAAGCAGTCTCATTTTGCTGTATTTGCTAGATTAAATACCCCACAGCTAGACTGGATCTCCCTGACACTTTGCATTTAAGGGAAAGGTTCTGAGTGGAACAAATGATGTGCATTTGACTACAAGGTTGAAGGTTTACACCCACTCAGAGGTATCATGAAAGAAATGCCTAGAAAGATGTTCCAAAGATTTACAGCCAAGAAAATCCTACTGAGCAGTCCTACTCTGTAATACATGGGATCATCATGAGTCAAACAACGCTAAGGTAACAAGTGTGATTGGTTTTGATTTTGCATCTAAGCAAGTGAGAAGATGACTCTGGCCAATGGAATATTGGTGAAGGGATGATGCCGGCGGTTTCTTGAGCAGGGAGAATGAACATGGAACCAAACAGACATACACACACACACACAGAGACAATACAGGGCTGCAGCACAAAACAGACAGACAGATGGTACAAAACTGCAGCAGCCTTGACAGCCCACAGTGCTTTATGTACTAAATACTGGCAGTGTTCCCAGATAAACTTGCTATTCCCACACTTGAATTTCTCATAGCCTTGAGAGTGAGTTCTATATCTCGGTCCACACCATTATTTACATTTCTCCCAGGGAAAAACTGCTTGCAGCTGTTTCCACAATCATCTTACCATTTGCAGTAAGGAAGCTGTTTACGAGAACCAACTAGGACAGATGTTTGCGTACTGCCCAAGACAGATACATGACACGAGACACAGTGCTCCTTTCATGGCTCCTTCATAGGGATGTTCATCACCTCCACACTTGGCCCCCCAAATCTCCTGATTCCCTTCCCCTACTGCCTCTCTCCCCTTGTGAACTGGGCCTATTCCAAGAGTCCAGCCCCAGAGAATGCTGAGTCCCTAGATGAAAGAAGCTTGCTTATAAACCACTGCACAGGTTACGCCCACTGCTAAGATGTCTCTGGATTGTGACCAGAGAGAAATGAAACTACACTGGTATTGAGTCAAGGAAAGCGTGGGACTCAAAAACAGAAGTTAGTCCCCTCTAAGTGGTAGAGTTGGTGGGGGAGGGGGGGGAGTCAAAGCTCTTTTTATCCCTTTATATTAGTTATATTGTTGTAAAACATATCACTACCAATGCAATTGCTTAAAATAACACACAATGGTTCACGGTCTTCAAAGCTTGTGAGTAGACATCTAAGATGCAGCTATTGGCTGGTCCTCATCTGGCGTAAAGAAGAGGAAAGAAAATCAAAGACTTGATTAGGCCAATTGCACGACACGAATCCCAGCCTCCACTACTCAGAGATCAGAAGAAATGATGGTGACCAGCTGTCAGTGATAATTTCTCTAAATAGGCTCATAATAGAAAGGCCCAGACAGAGAGGAATAAAAACAAAGTCAAAACATGAAAAGAATGGACTTACTGGTCTTATGGACACTAATAGAACCCCTGAGACTGTGGCCCTTAACCACCCTTCAACCCTGGACCTTAACTAATCCCAAGGGACAACTGTTAGCCAAACAATAGGGAGAAATGTACTCCTCTATACAACCAACATTTAGAAATCAAAAAGGCCGTATTCACCCTAAAAACAAAGCTCAGAAGGCTTCGAGGAAGAGGAAGGACAAGTGGAAATAGGGAGCCCAAACAGGAAGTTGGAAGGATGCTATTACATTCAGAAGATAACAACCAATATCACAAAACAAAATCTGTAGAAATCATTGAACAGAAGACTAATTTGCTTTGTAAGCGTTTATCCACACTATAAAAACAAATAAAACATTTGGTACTGCTTGGGGAACAAAATGTAGGGGTAGGGGCCGTGTAAAGCAGCATTTAATGTCTCACATTTTCTATAGGTCGGAAGCCCAGCACAGTGTGGCTAGATTCTCAGATCAGCCACACTCTACTAAAACTATCCAGTTGGGTTGTGTTTCTGGAGCTGAAGATACTTTCCCAACCACACTCATGGTTGCCCCCGTCTGTGTGATGACCCTGCTTCTGTGTTGCCTGTCAGTTGGGGGCTGCTCTCTCTCTCTTCAGACCACCTAAATTTCTTCTCATGTGGCCCACTCCATCTTTCAACCCATACTGACACATCAAAGTCTTTCTCAGACAAAATATCCAACCCCTTTCTAATGCACCTGTGATTAATCGGGTCGATTCAAATAATCGAGAATAATATCCTCCTTTAGAGTCAACTGAGAAGTGACTTTCACATTTGAAAAGTCCTTCTTGTCACGGAAAGGACCATGGGCGTGACCGTGATACCTCATCAGAGGATTAGGGCATGGACTCATCTCTGAAGCCCAAATTCTTCCAGACACACCCCTAATGGACTATAGTAGAACA